TGGGAGTTGAAGTCCAGACATCTTCAAGTAGCCAAGGTTGAGAAACACTGTTCTAGTCCATCCCTCTGCCCAAGCAGGAGACCCCATACTATTCTGGAGAAATAATTGTCCAGCCTCTTCTTGAAAACCTCTAATAATAAAGCACCCACAACTTCTGGAGGGAAACCGTTCCACTGGTTAATTGTTCCAACCATCAGGAAATCCCTCCTTAGTTCTAGCTTGCTTCTCTCTTTGAATAGTTTCCACCCATTGCTTCTTGCTTTGGAGAATAGCTTGACCTCCCCCCACCCCAAAACATAGTCCGAATTGACTTTGGTTGTCAGAAGACCTGAAAGCAGGGTCCCATGACCCCCCCAGGGCATTGTAACTGTCATAGTGCCAAGCGTCTGAATTTTGATCACACGGCCATGGAGACGTTGCAGTGGTCACGCGTGTGAACAGGTGACTTTTCCCTTGTAGCTTGGAACAGTCACGAGACAAAAGGTGTTAAGCCATTTTCATTTCTTCCCCCGTGTCTAATGCCTCTTTTCCATTTGCGCCCCTCTCCTCCTTCCCATCTCCTCTGCCAGCAACGCGATGCCTGCCTACGGTCCCAGCGCCCCCAGCACCCCCACGCCGGGCGTCAACATGGCCAACAGCATTGCCAGCTTGCGCCTTAAAGCCAAAGAGTTCAGCCTCCACCAGAACCAGGTGCCCACTGTGAACTGACGTGGCCCGTCCTTCCTCGGTTGCCCGCAAGCATCCCTGGCGATCTCCACTCATCAAGACATCGGAGATATTCATGGCCCAGCAGGGCTCAAAAGTCTTCCCCTGCCTCCCACCCCCAAGGTCTCCTCTTGAGGACCAACGAGAGACCTTCCACCGAGTTGAGGAAACTTAAGGCTCCCCTGGGGAGGGGGCAGCCTCCTGGAGCTACATCTTGTTGGTGGACCATGGCTTCTTCAAGGAAGAGCAGTCATCCAGGAGACGCAGCCTTCCAGAAACGAAGGCATGGGCCTTGGAGTTGAAAGAGCTTAACTCTTCAAGAGCCCAGCTATAATTTGGTCTTTCCAACCCGGATTCTTTCGCTCTTCCTTGCCTGGGTGTGGTGACCTTGGGGCCACTGAGATTTGGCATGGAGCAGGTTTTATTGCGAACCGACTTCTGTCCTGGATGCGTTCGTTTGCCTGTCTCTGCAGAACGGACGGATGTTAAGGGACTCTGGCCCTGCTTGGCTTTCAAAGGGAAAACGGTGCTCCTTCCCATTCACCACGTGCTTCCCTCGAATTCTTGGAGAAAGCAACCAGGAATGGCTCCCCCGGAAGGACTTTTACCAAACGGGGACGGCAGCCGATGGCTGGCAGCCCTCAGATAAACTCCCATTAACAGCAAACCCCTTGGGCTGCACGGCTGAGCTTCCTTCACAACAGCAGTATTTTGCAATTTAGGAAGGTTGCAAAAGGAACATTTGTGGATGCTGCTTACATCAGAGGGCGGATTTGCCACAGAGATTCTTGTTTTTTTAAAGGGAATTCAGGTGGTGAAAGCTGGGCAGCAGCCGAGGAGGGGGAGATGCAGGGGGGGAAACCAGGGCTGGGGGCTGCAATTAAATCATTCCCATCGCAAGACCAGCTTTGCATTCTCGTAATCCTCACTCTGTTTCATTTCTCTCCAGCTTGGCTCAGTTGAGGGGAGGGAGGGGAAAAAGGTACATGTTAAGGAGGATTTTGCTGGGATAACACGTTGCCCCAAATTTGGGGGTATTTGCGGGGGGGATTTTCATTCTGTTCTGTCTTTGTGACAAGCCCCTCACATTCCAGTTCATCTGGTCCGTCCGTTTCCATTGCCCAGAATTCCCATAAGGTAGTCCTCAATTTATGGACATCCCTTTAAAGTTATGATGGAGATGAAAAAGTGTGATTTGTGGCTGTTTTTTCACACTGTTGTGGTGTCTCTATGTGTGGCCTCCCCGGATAGTTTCTAGCAAGCAAAGTCAACAGGGAAGCCAAATTCACTTAACAACTGCATGATGCACTTAACAACCACAGGAAGAAAGGTCATAAGATTGTGAGTGACTCATTTAACAGCCCCAACACTTGAGGACAGAAGGTCCCACCCCAATTTTGGTCGTAAGTCGAGGCCTTCTTGTTCTTTCGATTTCCCAGAATCTCCCAATGAAAGGAATAGTCCAATTCCCCCCAATATCCCCCATTCAAAAGAGTTATGACCCTGTTTCAAACAGGAGCCCAAAGTTTTGCTCCAGAAATTCCTTTTCTGAATGTGTGGAAGACATTTCAGCCTGTTTCCTTCACCCACCCAGCCCCTACAGAAATAAAAAAAATCTGAAATCTCAGTCTTATATAGTGGTTTTTTTCATCCCATTCAATACACCAGACAAATATCTGTGCATTGCTTTGAATAGAATAGAATTAAGAATGGAATAGAATTAAGAATGGAATGGAATTAAGAATGGAATAGAATTAAGAATGGAATAGAATTAAGAATGGAATGGAATAGAATAGAATAGAATTCTTTAT